ACCCATTGGACATCAGTTGTGGACCATTTTTACTGAGCCATCACTTCCTACCAATCACTTATTCAGTACCTGCACGGCTTCCTTGCCTTGGCTTTTCAAAGCTGCCCAAGAACTGAATGTTAATATTGCAGACATCACAGAAAATCAAAAAGAGCATAAATTACCTCAAAACCATATCCTGAAAGAAGAAAGTCATCCCCTGCAGCTATTCTGATTGACCTCTGACAGTTGTGTTACAAGGTTCAGTGAGCACTCAGGGATTTGTGCAATTACACCTACTCAATATTAAAACCATTGATTTTAAAAAAAAATGTTTTAACATTAGAACTTGCTCATAAATTCAGACTTTCTGAGAAAAAAAGAGAAGGGAGTTTTTCCAGGTAAACAGCATAGAGGTTTATTGAGTTTTATTTCTATTAATTGAAGAAATCCCCCAAAAGATTCCGGAAACTTGCAGGACTGTGACATGAGTGGCAGAATCAAGTTTGAGGAGGAACCCATTAGAGGGGATTTGGAAATACAGTACAATTTACAAGAACTTTTATATTAAGTTAATCCTAGCCCCTTGCAATTCTCTGCATTTCACAGGCAGAGAAACAGAGATATTGATACAGAAAGCAAGAACATGCTGAGTGCTCTGCCTTCATCCTGTGATTTGTGCTGGTAAACAAGGATCATAATGAGAAATGAAAGGGAATCAATCTGTTTAGTTCATCTGAGGGAAGGTTAAGAGGCAGCTGAGAGTTCAAATAGCAGAGTTCAAGAGATGAGGAGATACAGCTCTTTAACAGAGTGGATGGGGCTGGTCTTTCATCATCAGGAGCCATGAAGTCTGTTATGGAAAGAGTTGACCCCAGTCTGGCCAGAGGCTGTAGAGGTTGATGGGTAAAGCTGATTTGTGTGAAATAATCTGTTCTCTTTACAAAGAAGGTCAGACTGGATGGTACAAGGATTCCATCTAGTCTACAAACCTCAGAAAATGTATCTAAAGTTGGTCATCCAAAATGGATGTGTCATCATCACTGTTCACTTCTGCAAGGCCCTGATGGATGGGCTTCTCCATCAGCAAGGCATTAGAAAAGCTGGGAATAAAGTACAGGGGTCTTGAGTGCCAGACCATTGCTCTCACTGCCGCTTGCATTCATAGATGGCAGGTGTTCATTATCCAGGCTGTGAGTAAAATTTAGGGCAAGGAAGTTACCTGAATACCTGGTCCTGGCTTACACGGGATCTCACTTAATCCACTACTGAATTCCTGATGTTCTTTCCCCAGAAATCTGGACAGTCTTGCAATGTGTGTGCACTCTGATCTATGTGAATACAAGACTTATCTGTCTGGATATTGCATATCAGAGACCACTTTTGCAATGGATCACATGGTCTGTGTGCTGTTTTCATTTTAGAGCTATTCCTTTTTTTGTCCATTGTGAATGAAGAAAATGTTTTATTCCTTGCATTTGTGCAGCAGTATCGCACAGATCTGAATGTTCATGTTTCCCAGTCAGTCTTCCCTTCTGAAAACAACTCCATTTATTCTGTGTTTCCTAGCGGGTAAAGTTTTCTTGACCTTTTGTCATCCTTAGGGCTACTTCTAGAATGGTTTCTGGTAAAATCTTTCCTAGAGTGTATTACCTACCGCTGAAGGCTTTGGAATATAAAGTCAAACAAAAGGATTAAGACTTGAAGGTTTTAATTGCATTTATACATCCCTTGATGTGTCTGATACTTCTGTAGAAAATGTGACTGTGTAATCATGTTGGACTTGCAGTCCTGTAGTAACCGTAGGTCCTTTTCAGCTATTTTGTTTCCTGGTCATTGGCAATGCCTGGTCATTCTCCATCCTTTGTGCAGTGTTTTTGCTTCTTTCTAAATGCAGCTCCTTGCGGTTAACATAAATTACACAGCATCTTATTTTCTTAGTTATCACTCCTGCTTGGTTAGGATGTCTATGATTTCAGTAGCTGTCATTTAGCCTCCTTGTTGGACATCAGGTCTGTGTTTAATATGTCTGAGGCCTGTTCCATCACTGCTCTCATATTAAAAACACCAAATGGAACTAGTCCTGGGGGGAGGCTTGGTGGAACCTATTTAATTGTTTGGTTATGACAGTCCATTTTTGAACCAAAATGTGCCTCCCTCACATGCTTTTCCCCAATATGCTTTTTGTGCCATTCCAGGACACCTCATAATAACAAAAACAAAACAAAACAAAATTTTTTTTTTGCTACTTTGACTCTGCAACCTGTATACTTGATTCAGAAAGAAATTGATACCAGTTTGATATGATTTGTTGCCAAATATGTGTTGGTTTTTACTCTGGTTTTGTTTGTTTGTTTTTAATCTACAGATATTGTCATTGAGTTTGTTCTTACCAATGTCTTTCTGGTCATTCGAAGTTAATCTGGAAAAAAACCTTAGAAGGAAAGTCATAGAATCATGAAGTGGTTGAGACTGTCTACTCCAGCTCCATCTAGTCACATACAGCAGGTTGCTTATGGTCAAGTCTAGTTGGGTTTTGATATCTCCAAGTATGAAGACTCTACAGCCTCCATAACCTCTCATACATCTTCTTGTTGACATGTTTAATTGCCCTTAGATCAGCTTCCCTGAGGAGCAGGAAATGAAAGAATTGGGAGGCACTGAGGGAATGGAAAGGAAAATGCTTTTCCTGCCAGTCAAAGGAGAGATACAGAGATCTGCTCTCAAATTTTGCTGTAAATATAGTACTGCAGTGCAAGAATGTGATTCTGGAGTTCTGTGAATAAGGAGTATTTCAATGGGTTAAGTGGGAGGGAAGTGGTTGTTTCTACAAAGGTTGGTTAAGATGAAACAAGTATTTCAAGTAATTCTTTTTATTGTTTAAAGAGAGAGAGAAAATAAAGGTTTTAAAATGAAAATGTGCTTTGAAAGAAGAAAAAAAAAAATCAGCATTTGGAATTTTCTGAAGAGCTTTTCTTTTCCCACTCTTCCATGCCACTCTATTTTTGTTTTCTTTTACTCCGTTTGTTTTATGTGGCCTTGAGGAAAGTCAGTACAGCAGCATAAGCTTCCACTTGCCCCATCTCTAAAAAGGAAGTTTGCTTCCTATTTCTTTTCCCTCGTACAAGGATCAGCCACTGTCTGGAGGTAGTCTTCCATCCATTATGTTCTCCTCCTACCCTGCCTACAGCTTTCTTAATCCATAAGAAAAGAGGAAAAACAAGATATAAAATAAGAAGAAAATAAGATAAAACTTAAGAGTTTTTTCCAGTATATTGGAAACCTTTTATTTGCCAATGTTTTCATTTAACTTTTTACTCTCATTGACTTTTTTTTCAGTTTACCCAGCACACATACATGTCATACACACACATCCCTTTTCCTTCTGCCTACCTGGGTACACTGAGGCTGTGTGAGGAGCCTCATCCAGAATTTTCTCAGTTTTTCTTTGTTCTTTTTTTTTTCTTTTTTTTTTTCTTGTATTTAAATGTTTAAAAAGATGAAAAGAGAAAACGAAATACAAGAGCTGCCGAAACAGTTGTCTCATCAGATTGAGGGGATAGTTGGAGATTTCTAGTGCTCTGCTCTTCAAGATGAACCTGGGAAAGGAGTAACTTCAGTGCACAGCACACTGCTGAGCCAGTGCACCCTCTGCTGTAGTAACCAACAAGGCCTTGAATTAATAAATCATATGGAGTTTGGGAGATCATGTGGACATTGGGGCTCCAGGATAACAGGGGGTCATGATTAATAATCTGGCCATGTATCAGAAAGCTCTTCCAAATCAGAGGCTGTTCTCAGCATTTTGCAATCAGAGTGAAGGTGTCTGGTCCCAGCCATGTGCCTCCAGTATTAGAGCCAAACATGAAGCCTTGGGCATCCCCTTGCCTTGCTGTCCACTCCAGCATCTTCTGCCATAGCAGTGATGGGTTGCAAATACTTATTGGCAAGAGATACTTGAAGGCTTGGGTTTTGAAGAGGTCCTTCATTTAAAAAGTGGCATTTTTAAGGCAAAGCAGCTCAGTACATGGATGACAGATGCTATTTCCAGTCATCTCATGCCAACTTGTCCACCCTACTGGACAGTTCAGTGCTATTCTACTGCAGATTCATGCTATTGCTTATGATGAAGGATTACCTAATGGTAGTGTTGTATTCTCTCCTTTTCAGTGAACAAGTCATTCTCCCCAGCTTACAGACTGTCCTTTTTTTTTTTTTTTTTTTTTTTTTTTTTTTTTTTTTTCCAGGAAACAGCTTCGGGATTTAGTACTGTTGCTGTGTTTTGTTCCATGCTCTATCCATGCTCTTCCTTTGCCATCATCTCTTCCATGCTTTAGGGTTGAGATACTTTTAAGACCTAAGAACCCCTTTGTATGCTGAAAAATGCCCAAGGATGTTGGTGAGAAGACGTCTGTGGTGGGAAGGGAGAAGAGAGAGGCTTTCTTTGCTAGAACCTTATTGATTTAAATCTAGGTCTTGCAGCATTATGTTTTTTTCCCTTTAAAAACAGAAAAAAAAATCCTTCTGGCTCCAATATTTATGCTAGAGGGCCAGGAGCTTATAATATAGCAGTAAACTGTCCCTTTTGAGAGCTCATCAAGTCTGCAGTATGATAGATAGGCTCCCAGGCATCTCCATAGTGTAATGTTCCAGAAGACAGCTTTACCCTGGTTTTTGATAGAGTGCCCAGTGTTTGTCTACGAGCTCGCGATCTCGAAGCATTTTGTGAACAGGGAGGAATTAAAGTCCTGCCATGGCCAAAACAGATAAATGGTTATCCTTTATCACTGGAGAAAATAAGGCGCAGAGAGGTCAAATGACTTGGTTGCCCTCGAGATCAGCTAGAGGCCACGAGAGTGGGATTTTAGTGCCTCTTTCCCTGGCTGGTAGGTAACCTGAAATTTAGAAATAGGTCTGTAAGTCTGTGCTTTTTCATTTGCCGTTTGTTGTTGTTGTCAGAGTACCGGGATTTAACTGACTTTTAACCCGTGTCACATGTGTCCTTTCCTCTGTTTTCACAGGTTTAAAATAAAATCCTGCATTCACTGCTATCTAGAAAATGTCTTATGGATCCATTGATGGGAGTGCATTTGGAAGCAGGAACCCATTTGGAGGCCCTTCAAGACAAGGCTATCAACCTCTTGGTAAAGTATCGATCTCTTGCTGTAATTTACTTTACCTGACTTTCTAGGGAGTGAAGTTTTACGTGTTCATGCTCAAAGTGTCTGCTGCGTTTCAGTAGCTAAATATCACCTGCTCCCCAGAGGTAATTTCTGCATAACGATTTCCAAAGGTGAAGGCCAAGGTGTTGGGTTGATTTGTAGCACGAGCCACCTCAGCATGCTCAGGATCTGAAGGTGCAATGTATCTTGTTGCTTGCTGTGGAAGAACATCACCAATTTGGATTTTGGAGACTTTTCTGGGGAATTAAAGAAGAAATGAAGCATGATCTCCAGACAAACCTGTCTCTGCTATCACCTCCCAACATCTCTGTGCAAAGGTTGTCCCAGTGGTTGCTCTCTGGCTGGCTGTGGGTCCATTAGTGATGGGAGTAGATGGGAGATATGCAGAGCAGGTGCTTTTACTGCTGGGGAGGCTGCTTTGATCTGGGGAGTGTGCTCAGATGTGGCAGTGGGGAAACCAGACTTGCTCAGGAAATGCAGAGAACTGTGGACAAGTGTTTTGCAAATACCTGCAAATTCCAGCTTTGTGATATGTTTTGAAGCAAAGTCAAGATTTAGTCTCCTTATCTGTTCCCGCCTTCCCTGAAGGGACTCTAGAAAAACTAAAGTGCAAAGGCAGAAGCATCCAGATGTCAGCCTGTGTTTTTGAAACAATCTCTAATGCACAGTGTAAAGCTATGCTATGTTAAAATAAATTAAAATATACACATAATACAATGCTTTGTTAAAATAAAGTAAAATATATGCATAATACAATTGTCATTAAAAAGTCATTAAAATTCCCATTTTTTTTGGTGCAAATTGTCATTTGCACAAAAATGATGATAACCTCTAGTTGTCGAAGGTCTTTGCTCTAGCATGGTCCCTTCCTGACACAGGCAAGCTCCCAGCCCTGTTGGTGAGATGCTGTACGGCCATGCCTGCATTTATATAGCCTGGCTTATGGCAAACCTTCTTAGCTTTAGCAGCATCTTCATCATGTTGTGTTTAATTTTGGGACTGGCTCTGGGCAAAGCCTGGCTTTGATGGAGGTGTCACTCGTGCCTCAGACCTCTGCAGGAGCATCAGGGATTGAGATCTCTGCTAGATGTCAAAGGGCTTCGTTTTCACTTGGCTCTTGGAAAACAGTCACCCTTCTCTTAAGTTGCTTTCAGTGCTATTCATTAAGCCCGACTTCAGCTTCTGAGTTGTCAAGGTTGCAAATGGTCTTGGGAAGTGTTTTGTTGTTTTGCAAATAGCTGCTCCCACTGGATAAGAATAAAAAGGCAGTATAAAGATTTCTATTGGTTTTCTGCTTTCTTATGAATTTTGGCTTTTTTTTTCTCTTTTTCTTTTCTTTAAGCGCAGAGAAGGTATTGAATTAAGTGTGAGTTGTCTGTTCAGTTTTAAATAGTGTTTTTCAGACTATTCTACAAGGAAAAGTTTAAAGCATAAAGGAAGGAAGAATGGGGTATCTGGGCATAATAAAAGCACCGTAAGAAAAGAGAATCAAAATGTGGAATAGACAAACAATAAATCTCAATGCATTGCAATTCTGTTTAAAAACGTGAATAGTTTTTGTACTGCACAAAATGATCCTTTTTTTTTTTTTTTTTTTTTTCTAATACAAACACAGAATAAATGAAGGCATTTGGAATCCGTAAATATTTGAATAGGTATCCCGTCATGCTCAGCTCACCCATCGTTTGGGGGCTAAGTAAAGTGACCCATGTAACGGTGGAGCCTCCTTGGGGGACTGTGAAAAAGCAAAAGCAAGCAGAGAAACAACAGCTTTCGTAACATAATCAGGGTGCTCCTCCTATATCCTACATCCTATATCCCATATCCATTGCAGATGTGTTGTGAGGGGGCTCCCAAGGTGCGTCTTTCATTGTCTTCTCCCCAGGTATTGTCATTAACTAAATGATGGGAGAGATTGATGTGGAATGGGGCTCCAGAAATAGAGCAGATATTTCTTTTTTGAGCTTTTCCACGTATTAGCTGTGTTGCACAGAAATTTAGAAAGTAGGTGTGAAAATGAGCAGAAAACAGGCCCTTAAAAGCATCTTGAACACTTCTTTTCCCCGCATATTCCTTTTTTTAACATCAGAATGGAGAAAAAAAGAAAGAAATGACTTCATACGATTTTTTTTTTTTTTAAGTAGCTGATAAGTCCTGTTTGAAGTGGATGGAGACCAAACTCTGCACTGCAGCAGGACTTCACCCCTGAAATGCTCGACCTGTCCACCCACGGTGGGCTTTTTTGGGGGAAAGATGAACAAAAGCTGCTGTACGCAGGAAGCCACAGAGGTCAGGACATTCAAAGAGCTCAAATTAAAATACCACTCGCCAGGAAATTTTTAAAACTGCTTTTATTAACCTTACCATGCCCTGGGCATTAAAAGCCAGATTTGAATGGGAGAAGGTAATTTTGAATCCCAGAGGTGTGATGCTTTTCAAGTGCGGTGAAGCTCAAGGGGGTGTTGGGTCAAGTGGTTAATTTTACGATGATTTTGTCAAGGCTGTTTTTCCTCAGGTCGCTCATGAAGACAGCTCATGAAGAGTTGTATTCAAGATGTATCGCCCTTGCTGCTGTCTCTTTGACTGTTAGGTTGGTTATCTTGTCAAAGAACAAGAAATTAAATCGCTTCATGACAGTTGTTCTTGGCAGTGTTCGCTGGGTATTTATCACCTAATTATCATTTAGATACTTGAAATTCATTGTTAAATAATTTGTTCTAACATTTTTCCTGGAATCAGGTCTATAATTTTCTTTGTCCTCCTCTTTGTAATATCTACTCGCCACTGAGGCACACCATCCAGCTTTTGGATGTCAAGTTGCACGTAAGTGCTGGTAAAGTTAATGCACGATAGCAGTATCTTGCTGGCAGCCTGAACTGAATTTGGCTCCAGTTTATGCTAGCTCTGGAGCAGGTGGCCCTGTGGGGCTAAAGGTAAAAAGGCACAAAACTAGTGTGAGATCTTGCAGGATCTCGCCGGGGATGCTGTGGCAGTAGCAGCTGGGTAGCCAGTGCACATGGTTCTGAAGGGGAATAATGGATTCTTAGGGGGAATAACGGGTGATATTCCCTCAAAAAAATCAGGGAGTTCACATCCCTTGGTTTGCACTTCTTGGTTTCCTTTCCCTGTTTTCATGGGAAGACCTGCATGCTCCTCAACCTGCTGAGAAGAGTGATTGCTGGTGGAAATTTCATTGACAAACTCAAAGAGTGCCCCAGATCAGTGGTAGGTTCTTCCAGAGCTTGCCCTCATGGTAGAGCAAGCAGGCTCTATTGATGTACTGCCTTTTCCAATGAGTTAATGCTGACAGTACTGAGAAACCTGGACCTTGGACATGATCGATCCTGCCAACCAGGTTGTCGTCCTCTCGGATGCTGTGTTCAGGTAGGGAGGAAGAGCTCTACTGCTCATGTCTCTTTTCAGCTTTGCTGTCTCTTCTTGCAAATATGAGGCTGATGACGAAGGGTACGAAGGAATTCACCGCTGGCTTTGCATCTTGTTACTGCAACACACTTAAACTTCTAAGTACACAAATAGTCCCACTGTGGTTCATTAGCGTTGAGCAGGTGGTTAATCCTTTTACTGCTTAATATTCATTTCTCAAATGACTTTCGGTGAAGACAGCGCTGAAACCTTTGGCCGTTGCAGCCACGTGGTGTGGGAGATGGGCTGGCTCTGTCTGTGGCAACTGCTTGTGTTACCGGAGAAGCAAGGGACCCAACCACCTGTTTAAGCATTCCTAAAATTAAGTGTTATGCAAAGGAGGGATGAAACAAGGCCTCCCTCGGTAATAAAACCAATAAAACCAAAATGTGTGTTTTGGATGGAGTCTCTTAAGTATATAATGAAAGTAAATGCTTAAAGTGTGACCTCTGTAACACCTTTTAGCTGTGATTTCTAGGTTGTTTTCCAAATATGAATCCCAGTTGTCACCTGATCTGTAAAGAAAGTGATATTACCTGTGTTTTGTACAGTGTTTGTGAGGATCTTAATGACTGCCTTTTGCTCCTGGGTCTTTGGTCCTACTGTAGTGGGAGGGTTTCCTTAAACTTAGGGACAGGCAAAAGTATAGGACTCAAGTGGTATGAAATAAGTCATTAATTGGCCTGAAATGAAGAACTTACCCAAGCTCAGATGTGTGCAATTCTAAAAATCCTAATAAGGTGATTACTCCCACTAGACAACTCAAAAAGCCTTTATGGCATCTGCAGAGGAATTGTTTCATATTGTTTTTTTTGCTATTGAGCAAGACTTCAGAACACTAACAATTTGTTTCCTTGGTCCAGTTTCAGTGAATTTAGAGATATTCTCAGTTTTCCATCCAGTTCTTAGAGATCTTAGTGGTGATTTAATGAATTAATAAACCTAAACATAAGAAAACATATTAAAGAATAATGAACAACTTGTTTTATAGCAAAAGGAATTGCCAGGAGAATTAACTTTGAAACCAGAATTAACTTTGAAGTTGTTTGTTTTGAAAACCTCTGCCCTTATCCCTGCTAGCAATTTTAACATTATAATAAATGTTTAGCTATAAGCTCAGTGCTTCAGTGAAGTTAAGTGGAAAAATGCATTTTATATAACTAGCAAAACTAGAAAACCCCATTGGAGTAAAACGTTTTAATGAAATATGCTATGGTGAGCTGTACAACCTCATAGTGCTTAAAAAGAGAAAAAAGTAAACATACTGAAAAGGCAAAAGAAAAAAAAGACCTCTTAGGTAAAGATAATTTTTTTCCTCTAGGTTTTGTATTTGCTAGTCATCTTATCTTTGTCATCCAAAGCTATTTTACCATCAATATGTAAAGAAAAGAAAAAAAAAAAAAAAATCATACCCAGGACTCCCAGTCTTTAAAGCAAAGCCTGCAAACAAAACCACAAACCTCTCCTTAGGCAATATTCAGCTAGAAATACATTTAAACATCTCATCCTCTCTGCATCTTGTTCCATTTTCCACCTGA